GGGCGGGGGGGGGATGTTATTTCTTTATGTGGAAAGTAGGGATGTACTCAGGCGTGTGCTGTTCCGTGAACGTGCTATATTTATCCACTCAAAGAGGAGGCTCTGGGCTGGGAGCCTGGGTGACACACAAGGGCATCAGCCAAAGCAAGAGGGCTGGTTGAGGCCCTGGATTTGGCTCACACTGCAGAAGGACTGAGTTCAGGGCTCGGAAGCCCCCCTGTAATGGGCAGAGAAGGTTTCCACCAGCGTGGGCTGCTGGGACAGGCCACAGGAGCAGAAACACACTCTGTTACTTCTGCATTCAATCTGTCCCTGCTTCCCCCTGAGGGAAATGACTTGCATCTTGCCCTGCTGTCCCCTCCAAAGCTCCCATTTCACTCAGGAAAGAGTTCTCAGCACAAGCCACTTAGCCTGGCCTCAGGTCCTGTTTGCAGCCCAGAACTCAGCACAGGAACTGTTGACAGATCTGTTCTACGACCTCCCAGACTGAGGACTGTGCCCTGCCCCCTGACATTGGATGCCAGACATCCTCACAGCCATGTTCTTCCCTGACCTTCTGGAATAAACCCTCAGGACCCAACCAGTGACCTTGAAGCTGAACACTCTTTGGTCTACACCCCAGGTGTCTACTGTGCCCTCAGGGACTTGTCCTTCTCTTTACAAAATCCTCTGAAACTGCTCAGCCCCTGACTGACTCCACACATTTTTCAGCAGAGTACTTGGATATGGTTTATAGGCAGATTGGAGCCAAAACCTGGATACCCCTTCTCCTCCTCCACACCCCCACAATGAGCAATGAAGGTCAAACCCACTGGGACCAACTCAGTCCAAGATAATATAATCCCATGAAGGCATCCAATGATGGTGTGGGCAGTGTCACTGGAAGAAGCAATAGTCAAAAAATGTCAAGAGGCTCAAAAGCTGTGCCATAAAGCCTTAACAAATATGAAAACCTTTTGCTATAGCAATTCCAGGCTTCCCTGGTGGCTCAGACAGTAAAGAATTTGCCTACAATGCAGGAGACCCAGGTTCAATCCCTGGGTTGGGAAAAGGCAGAGGAACCAGAGATCAAATTGCCAACATCGCTGGATCATCGAAAAAGGAAGAGAGTTCCAAAAAAACATCTATTTCTGCTTTATTGACTATGCCAAAGCCTTCGACTGTGTGGATCACAATAAACTGTGGAAAATTCTGAAAGAGATGGGAATACCAGACCACCTGACCTGCCTCTTGAGAAACCTATATGCAGGTCAGGAAGCAACAGTTAGAACTGGACATGGAACAACAGACTGGTTCCAAATAGGAAAAGGAGTACGTCAAGGCTGTATATTGTCACCCTGCTTATTTAACTTATATGCAGAGTACATCATGAGAAACGCTGGGCTGGAAGAAGCACAAGCTGGAATCAAGATTGCCGGGAGAAATATCAATAACCTCAGATATGCAGATGACACCACCCTTATGGCAGAAAGTGAAGAGGAACTAAAAAGCCTCTTGATGAAAGTGAAAGAGGAGAGTGAAAAAGTTGGCTTAAAGCTCAACATTCAGAAAACTAAGATCATGGCATCTGGTCCCATCACTTCATGGGAAATAGATGGGGAAACAGTGGAAAGAGTGACAGACTTTATTTTGGGGGGCTCCAAAATCATTGCAGATGGTGATTGCAGCCATGAAATTAAAAGACACTCCTTGGAAGGAAATTTATGACCAACCTAGATAGCATATTAAAAAGCAGAGACATTACTTTGCCAACAAAGGTCTGTCTAGTTAAGGCTATGGTTTTTCCAGTAGTTATGTATGGATGTGAGAGTTAGACTGTGAAGAAAACTGAGTGCTGAAAAATTGATGCTTTTGAACTGTGGTATTGGAGAAGACTCTTGAGAGTCCCTTGGATTGCAAGGAGATCCAACCAGTCCATCCTAAAGGAGATCAGTCCTGGGTGTTCATTGGAAGGACTGATGCTGAAGCTGAAGCTCCAATACTTTGGCCACCTCATGAGAAGAGTTGACTCATTGGAAAAGACCCTGATGCTAGGAAAGATTGAAGGCAGGAGGAGAAGGGGACAACAGAGGATGAGATGGCTGGATGGCATCACTGACTCAATGGACATGAGTTTGAGTAAACTCTGGGAGTTGGTGATGGACAGGGAGGCCTGGCGTGCTGCGATTCATGAGGTCGCAAAAAGTCAGACACGACTGAGCGACTGAACTGAACTGATAGCAATTCCACCTTGAGGAACTCATTTTGATAAAATAATGCATGGAAGCAAGATGAATTTATGAGGATGTTTACTGTAGCATTGCTTATCACAGTGAAAAAAATGGAAAGTGACAAAAATCCATCTCAAAATGGGAAAGGCACAGGGAGGATTTGTTGGCCCATGGAATCCAAAGGAGAGTTGAACAGTCAAGATCTGGGAAGCACCACGGTGTAGCCAGATCTTAAGAAATGGAATCCAGTTTCAGCTCCAGGACTCACTCTTCATCTGCCATGTTTGCTTCTCCCTGTGTACAAGACTGACTTTCTTACTCCTGACCAGACAGCAGGGAGCAAGGTTTGGAACACAAGAGTCTACCTGAAGCTCTAACCGTCAATCCAGGAATCCCAAGCAAAGAATATATTGGCTACCTTAGGTCAAGTGCTCAAATCACAGCCAATCAACTGTGAGCAGGGCAGCTAGGCACTCTAATTGGCCTGGGGTCAAGACCTGCCTCTGGACCAATCCGCTAAGACTGGGGAGGGGTCTCTTTGACAAAATGAAAGCTCCTGAATTAAACAAAAAACATAATTTCCCAGGAAAGGGAACTGGACCAGCAGTCTCAGTGATCCTCTACCTATTGGTGATAGAAACGGATAACAAAACAGTAAGCACAGTGAGGCCCCATTTCTGTAAAAACATAGGAGTAAAAATGTCTGAAAAGATATCATAAAATATTAAAAGTGATTTTATTTTCTTGTAGTTGTGCTGTGTTTCCTACAGTGGACACCAATCATTTGTAATACTTAATTTTTTGAAAAGAGAAAAGTTATAATTGGTTTTGTGAGTGCAGAACATTGACTCGGGATGTTGTCATTCACAGCTCTCTCCTTCAGCCAGCTCATGGGGATTTGAAAAACAAAGAATTCTGTGAACTACAGACCTCATTCACATCTCCAGTCATCCATCCATCCGACAAATGGATATTTACAGGAAACCCAATGGGTGCCAGCCAGCAATATGTGCTGGAGATGCCGTAATGACTAAGGACCAGACCCTGCCCTCAAGGAGCTCACAGTCTGGCAGAAGAAACAGATGAATGCCTGACCAGTTATAGGAAGCTTAAAACAGAAGTGTCCATGGCAAGCTAGGAAAATATAGACCAAAGAACAACACATTCTGTGTAGAAGGATCTTGAAGGTGGTGTGGAGGCACTGGGCTTTGTACTGGTCCAGGAAGGTGGAACATGCAGCAAAGGGCTTATGAGGAGAAGGAAACAGCACATACAAAGTGCAGGACCTTCAGAAGGCAGGGAATTGGGTGTAGCACGAAGTCTCAGGGAGCAGCCAGTGAATTCCACTCGCTAAACATTTAGGGAGCATCTGTGACAGGTCAGGCTTCTGGCTAAGGGTTTGCTGATGAGATAGAAAAGCTATTTGGGATTAGATTCCAGAAGACTTCGAATGTTGTTGTTCTATCTCTTTTCCAATAGCACAAATTTAAAATGTGGATGTGAATTTATCCCTTTTCCCCTAGGAGAGACAAAGATCTTCCCCACTCATGGGGCCTCTCAAGTGTCTTCAGCTCAGGCATCCCCACATTAGGGAAGGAACTGGGTGGTAGGGGGGGAGGGAGTATTCATACTTTCTGCACCCTGAGTTCTGTAATTCCACACATGTGCCAAAGAGACTGGGAAACCAGTTATTAGGGAAAATTTCCCCTGGATTGTTAGCAAAGTTGAGCTGTGCTCAGAAGGTTCCAGTTGGGCTTCTCAATGAAGACCCAGAACCACTAGCACTACCCTCGTAGCTCCCAAGCTCTGGAGGGGCTCTGGGGAAGGGGGAGTCACTCTCTGTGATGTGTCTTTCATGTACTAAGCCGAATGACCTTGGCCTGAATCGCTGAGGGTTATGTAAGATTAGGTAGCCACTTAGTCAAAAATAGCTTTCATGCTGACTCCAGCCCGCAGAACATCATCCAAGCAAAGGGGGCACATATGGGCCAGGGCTGGGCACACATGGGGAAATTCCCACCCTTGTCCTCACCACTGAAAAATGACTTGAGAGTGCAAGATGGAACTTCAGAACTGCTGACAGGTGATGTCCCATGCTTGTCTGTTTGGCAGCAGAAATATGGCTGTTGTGCTGAAGCACAGAAACCAAAGGATCATAAAGACAGAAATCCAGTACAAACATTCAAATAAAGTAAGAGGGTGCAGAGCACAGAGACAACGCTGGGTTAGGAAATCTTCAGATCTGCTATTACCATTGACATTCTAGAGCCAGGCACTTTCTTTTATTTGTTTGACAAATACCCCCTGAGCTTGCCACCCTGTGCCAGAGGCTGTGGCAGCCCTGGAGGCACAAAAGTCAGTGATAGTTGCTGTTCCTGTTCTCAGGGAATTTCAGCTTGTGGTGATCTGTCTTCTACCCCATCCTAATAATAAGTAACCTTTTCTGACACCTTCCCTGTGCCAGGCACTTTGCAAGACATTGGCACTCACAGTGAAAAAGCCAGACGCAGTCCCATGCTACATGCAGCTTACAGTCTAGAGGAAGTAAGAGATAAAAACAAAAACCAGACAAATAAATTGTCTTTATGGTGGAAATTCTAATAAAGATGTGCTGAGGGCCCTTCTAGATCTAGAGGAAGACATGTCTGTTGAATGGTACTGTTTCTGATGTGTTCAAGGTTTCTGCCTTGTGAAGGAATATGTGAAGATCCCCATTCTGCCCCTCTGGAAGTGACACTGGGGAAAAATCATCTGGACCTTGTGTAAGGAATAGGCTCCTCACCCACTGCTCTTCAGAATTCTGATATTTTTGGAGGACGATTTGCAACATTCATTAGCACTTTAAAAAGATAGCCAATATTAAGGGATTATTGAAACATATTATATATCCATAAAGTGCCATGAATGATGAGGTAGCCCACATATCCACTCTATACCACTAACAAGAAAAGAAGTCCAAATGTTAAGTTAAAATTTTTTGGATTCAATAAGTTGTGTATAGAGAAATTATGAAGTTTGTGTATTGTTGATGGAAACATGAAATGGTGCAGCCACTATGGAAAACAGTTTGACAGTTCCTTAAACAATTTAAAAGAGAACTATTATTATATGATCTAGCAATCTCACTTCTGGATATATACCCCAAAGAATTGAAAACAAGGTCTCCAAGAAATATTTGTACACCCATGTTCATAGCAGCATTATTTACGATAGATAACACATGAATGTAGCCCAAGTGTCTGTTGACAGATAAATGGATAAGCAAAAGGGATATTATTCAGCCTTAAAAAGGACAGGAATCCTGACAGATGCAACAACCTTGAGGACTTTCTGCTAAATGAAATTAGTGAATGTGTTAGTTGCCCAGTTGTGTCCGACTCTTTGCAACCCCATGGACTGTCCACCAGGCTCCTCTGTCCATGGAATTCTCCAGGCAAGAATACTAGAGTGGGTAGCCACTCCCTTTTCCAGTGGATCTTACCTTCCCAGGGATTGAACCCAGGTCTGCTGCATTGCAGGCAGATTCTCTACAATCTGAGCCACCAGGGAAGCTCAGATGAAATAAGCCAGTAACCAAATACTGTGTGATTCTGCTTATATGAGTCACTTAGAGTAGTCAAAATTATACAGTTATAAATCAGGATGGTGGCTGCCAGGGGCTTTAGGGGAGGGGAGAATGAGGCGTTATGATTTAATGAATATATAGTTTCAGCTTTATAAGATGAAAAGAGTTCTGGAATTGGATGGTGATGATGGTATCACAACATTATGAATGTATTTAATACCACTGAACTGTACAGTTAAAAAAAATGTATGAGGGGATAAGTTTTATCTATTTTACCATAACAAAAATAATTGGAAAAAAATTGTGTGTAAAAGCACCAAAAAAGAATAAAATATGTAGGAATAAGTTTAACCACAAAGATGCAAGACTTATATAATGAAACTACAAAACATTGCTGAAAGAAATTAAAGGAAGTCTAAATAAATGGACATCTATGTTTGTGGGTTGAAGTCATAATGTTGTTAAGATGATAGTACTTCCTAAAGCAATCTACAGATACAATGAAATCCCTAAAAAAAACTTCAAATCCCACAAATTCTGTTTTTAGAAGTGGAAAACCTGATTCTGAAGTTCATATGAAATTTCAAGGAATTCCAAGAAGCCGAAACAATCTTGAAAAAGAAAAACAAGTATGAAGACTCATACTTCTTAATTTCAAAATTTACCACAAAGCTGCAGTAATCAAAATAATGGTATTGGTGTAAAGATTGCCTACATTTAGATAAATGGAATTGAATTGAGAGTCTAGAAATAAATCTATACATCTTCAGTTCATTTTCAACAAGGATGCTAAGACCATTCAATGAGGGAAAGAACAATCTCTTCATCAAATGATGCTGGGACAACTGGATGTCTACACACAAAGAATGAAGTTGGACCACTACCTCACAGCATATACAAAAATTAACTCAAATTGGAAAAAAAATCTAAATATAAGAGTTAAAACTATGAAACTCTTAAAAAAAGAAATCATAGGGGTAAGTCTTCATAACCTTGAGTAGAATCAACAAAAGAAAAAATAAATTGGAGTTCATCAAAACTAAACATTTTTCACTGGGATGTAATTGACATATAATATTAATTTCAGGTATATATGGCATAATGATTTCATATTTGTGTATAATGTGAAGTAATCACCACAGTAAGTTTAGTTAACATCCATTACCATACATAGTACAAATATTTTTCTCTTGTCCTGAGAACTTCTAGGTTCTACACTCTTAACAACTTTCAAATATGCAATATAGCATTATTTTTTAAATTTTTTTTGAAATATATGATAGTTAATTTACAATGTTGTGTTAGTTTCAGGTGTACAACAAAGAGATTCAGTTATATACATTATATATATATTCAAATTCACACATATATAATATGTTATACATTAGATTCTTTTCCATTATAGGTTATTATAAGATATTGAGTATAGATCCCTGTACTATACAGTAGGTCCTTGTTGGTTATACAATACAGCGTCATTAACTGTAGCTGTAGCTTCCCTGGTGGCTTATTGGTAGGGAATCCACATGCCAGTGTAGGAGATGCAGGTTTGATCCCTGGGTCAGGAAGATCCCCTGGAGAAGGAAATGACAACCCACTCCAGTGTTCTTGCCTGGAGTGGATATCCCATGGACAGAGGAGCCTGGCAGGTTACAGTCCATGGGGTCGGAAAAGAGTTGGACACGACTTAGTAACTAAACATCAGCAATAACAACTGCTCTCTGTACTTTTTGAATGTGGTAGCTGGACTTTCAAAGATATATATATTTTTTTTCGTGCGTACCTGCTTTATGTCATAAAAACAAAGTTTCTGGAACATAGAATAAAAAAAATTTAGGTTAAAAAACACTCGTTAGTTTCTGCCCTATTGTATATTTGTTAAATTAACAGACATTACTTAACATAAATTAGACAGATATTTTAAAAAAATATTCAAACAACACAGAAATCTTTAATGTATACACAGACTACTCCTAGCTTACTTTCAAAGGGAAAAAACGCTTACAATAAAATATTTTTCAGTAAAAGAAAGGCATCAGAGAAAGGGTCATTTGTTTTTTAACATTCCTTTTCCTTTTGTTTTCCTCTGAATTTTCTATAATGACATCTATTATTCCATGTTGGAAAAGGTCTGTAACTAACTGAGTTTTTCAACATAAAGCTGCCAGTTTCAAGCTGCTGATGAAGCAGTGCTGATCTGACCTTGACCTCCGAGCAGCCCTTGGACCCTTCCCTCTGGCCCTAGTCTCTGCAGCCTCCTTGGCTCAGACCCTGGGCCTGGCCTTTCCCGCTGCCCTCAGATGGCCTTCCCTGCCTGGCAAACCGTTCACCAGTCCCCATCTTAAGTCTCCTTAACCCCTGGGACTCGCTGATGGAATTAGGGCACAGTGGAGAGCAAGGTGCTTCCGGATTCCTCTCTAGGAGGAACATGGGGGCTCTTTGGAAAGTATGTTTGTCCAATAAGTGTAAGATTTTTACTTTGACAGTATGCTAATAGTATGCTATGGGCTTCCCTGGTGGCTCAGTGGTAAAGAATCTGCCTGCCAATGCAGGAATGGTGGGTTCTATCCCTGGGTCAGAAAGACCTCTGGGGAAGGAAATAGCAACCCACTCTTTCCCATTCTTGCCTGGGAAATCCCGTGGACAGAGGAGACTAGAGGGCTATTGTCCATGAGGTCACAAAGGGTCAAACATGATTCAGTGACTAAAGAACAAATAGTATGCTATAGTCAAATAAAAACAATGTTTTCCAAAGAATTTTTTATTCATGCTTTGTTAGGTTGAGCAAACATTAATTGTCCCCTTTTAAACTGTCCATTTTAAAGAAGGGGATATGCAGGTGTTGGGGGAAACTGATGGAGATGAAGGAGGGAGCCAGCTCCGGGACCACCCTTCCTGAACCCCCGTGTGGCGTCAGTGGGGAGAACTCTATGTTTGGCTGCCAGTCCCCACCCTGCAGAGGGGAAAGGAAAACAAAGACACCTCCAGCCTCCCTGCCTCCAGACTTGTTGGAAAACCTCCCTGGTCTGCACCATGGTCTAGGACCAACAATTTGGAAATTTTGTTCTGAAATTTGTTTTCTGAGTCTTTCCTGGTCATGACTTTTCTGCTCTGCTATTCTGTGCACACCTCTGAGGTGATGCTAGGTCAGATCAAAGTGAACTGGTCAGAAACTTCCAAGGTCCTCTGGTAGCTGCTGCAGCAAGGTCCTTACTGCTCTTGGATACCCATCCTTTGCCTAAAATCGCTTAATTTGGGAACTATCCTCTTTGCATTATTACTTCTAAATTTCTATTTAAAAACAAATGAGAAGTTCATTTTCTCCCCTGCATTATAAAAATAAACAACTGTGTCAAATAGAAAAAAGTAGATGCCCCCCGACCCTTGCTAAAGCCACAAAACATCCACACACACAATACCTAAAGGCAATCACTGTGACATTTTGGAGTATTTCTTTGAAGTCTTTAGGAATAGCTGTCTGAGTCATTATTATTGTTATCATTGTTTTATATAGTTGTAATCATTCCATATATCAATTTTGACCCTGTTTAGTAAAACCTGTTTTAAAGAAGTATTTATTTCATGTTACTGTATATACTGGCTCTGCTGTGGTATTAGCTATGTTACTTTGGGTATGTTACTTACCCTCTCTGTGCCCCAGTTTCCTTATCTGCAAAATGGGCTAAATACCAGTATTTACCCTACAGGGTTCCTGCTAGGATTCAGCAAGGTAATGCTAGTGAAATGCTTTGCAAACAGCCCAATGCAATAAGTGTTAACAATTCATCTATGACTAGCATAGACATGGTTGATCTGGTTTTTTGGCTCTCCTGAACAGTTCTACAATGAACATCTCTGTATCTGAAGGCTTGTCCATGCTGAGGATTAATTCCTTGAGAGAGACTCCTGAAATGGAATTGCTGAAACAAAGAATCTAGAGCTTCTTAAAAGTTTTTGATATTGATTATTATAGCCAGAAGAGGAAGAATCTTGGTTTGATTTACTATTGATTACCAGCTTTATTGATACAGGCTTGACATATAACACTGTATAAATTTAACATGTACAATGTGATGATTTGATGCATGTAATTATTGTGAAATGTCACCACGATACCACAATTAACATATCCTTCACCTCACATAATTACTATTTTATTGTTGTTGTTATGGAGATCCTGATTTTAAGTGTAAATCTTTCCTCTGCTGGTCGAGACCATGAGCACCCCTTCCAACCTGAGCACTCACAACTTTAGCGGTTGTGAGTTTAGAAGACTTCTTTCTGTGAACAAGCCTACCTAGAAGTATGGTATGACATCTTGGCATCATATCTGTTAGAATAACCCTAAGACTGTCTGTAAAACTGGGACAAGGATCTCATCCAAGGTGTGGTGAGGCATAATTAATTAATGGCTAATGGTTGGAGCTGACTTTTGTCCTCTTGTTCATAATAGACCTTTGAGTTGCTTGGCCACTTTTGAGTTTCTCAGGAAAAGTGATAACACTAGGCCAAAGTTCATGCCAGTTGGCCAGG